TGAGTGATACTATTATTTTTAAAAATGCAAAATCATTAATCATTTATTTTAGTCTGCCTTATGACAGACTGTTGCTTCCTTTAAGATGCTGTAACTGGCATTTAAATTTACTGGGAAAAACCCACAAAACATGCACTGCAATCAGAACTGTCTCTCTCCAGCAAATCTGGAAGGACCAAAGTGTGTCACACTGAAGGAAAACAGAATCAGTCACAAACAATCTGCAACAGGAACACTCACCATTATTTGTGCTGTTGTTAAAACTCTGGAATAATAACTAACAGTCCAAAATGTAAAGATCCTAAAAGGCACAACTGCTGCATGGTTCTGGTAATAAAGGCACAGTTGTAAACAGCCACATAGGCTGAATATTTAAAATTCCTAGGCAAAACTAATGAAAAGAACCACAGATTGACATTAGAAAATTTAAATCTTAGCAACAGAGATAATCTCATCTTCTCATCTTCAAAAACATGACACAGCTGCTCCATCTTTTCATCTGCTTGTACATACATGATTATTTTTTGGTGTTTTTCAACAAACAATTGCATGGATGTTGGTGGTTTATTGTTAGCAATTATTTCTTTTCTCTCCTTAACATATATATATTGCATTCATATTCATATTTAAATACCACTCAAAACCAACAGCAACCAAAAAAATCCCATGACTCCTCGTGGATAACCTCCAACAGTCTTATTTTCCAGCTATACATAAAATATCATGTAATGGCAGTTAAAACCTTCCTAAAAATGTAATTATTTTCTCTTAGGAAAACCACCCACAGTCTAACAAATAAAATTGCAACCCACTTGGTAACTCTGCAGGAAGGTAAGAGTAATAGACAGCAATCCTTTAGAATGTGTTTTAGTTGTATATTTCTGTATAAACATGTAATGGAATTAAAAATTATAAGACTCATATTAAAACAAAAGGTCAGAAAACAAAGTTAGCAACAAATACAATTACCTTATGCTTTTAGCTAATTATGACACTAAAGCCAGAGGAAATAAACACATTTCAATTAGTAATTTCAACCCAGAGGAGAACAGAAATTCTAATGATTTTTTTTTCCAGCACGTATTTCTTAGAAAATCTCAGTAATGGCAAGTTAATAAATGACATGACAGGCCCTGCCTGCTCCTCTTCCACCATGACAACAAGCACTGGGAGCGGGGTACCCCAGCCAGCTCCAGCCCTCTCACATCTCTGACAGCCACACAAAGTTTTAATTAGTTTGCTAGTTCAGGGCTTCCTAGAATAAATGCAGTTCTGTCATTTCTAATGCATTCTCATGATCAGTTAATGGATTTTTGGATTTTTTTTTTTTTTTTGCCTGCAGCTCAGACAACCTTCTTGTCTTCTAATTTCTTCCAAATCAGTTCCTAGGTTATCCATATTTTCTCATCTGGAACACTAATGAGCTTGTCTAAAATTCACTTTTAATGCACCATTCTCCTACCCTGACTCACTGAGGTGTTCTTTGTCAAACCCACATCACATTTCTGCATTACTCGCCAAACTATCAGTAGAGATCTGTGGTGTTTGTGAGGGTCCCCAGGATGAGGGCAGAGATGGGAATCTGACTCCATGTTCTCAGAAGACTGATATATTATATCAATATTATATCAATATTATATCAATATTATATCAATATTATATCAATATTATATCAATGAATGTTATACTAAGCTATACTAAAAGAAAGAGAAAGGACACATCAGAAGGCTTCACAAGAATGAAGAATAAAAACCCCTTGACTGACTCAGAGTCTGACACAGCTGGCTCTGATTGGCCATAAAGAAAAAACAATTCACATGAAACCAATCAAACATTTACCTGTTGGTAAACAACGTCTAAGCCACATTCCAAAGCAGCAAACACAGCAGCAGCAATCAAATAATTATTGTTTTCATTCCTCTCAGCTTCCCAGGAGAAAATCCTGGGCAAAGAAGATTTTTCAGAAAATATAATGTTGACAGAGACCAGTGGATGTGCACGATGTGCAAATCTGTCAGTCATGCGCCTACACATACACTGAGTTCAGGGTCTAAGTTCACAGATACAAAAGACTAAATTATCACTTTTGGAGCCCTAAAACTTGTGTACAACAATTTCCAGTTTTTCCAGCTTTGTCCAAAATCATACACAGCATGGAGAACAAGAGGGTACTCTATTCAAATGCAAAAACGAAACATGAATTTGTCCTGCTGGTTCTGGAAATCACAGGATCAGAAAAATTTTGGCTGTGGGGGATTCAGGATTTAATCTGCTCCAAACTGCTGGTCAAAATTCCTCTACACCTCCCTGGAAGGAGGTTGTGCCAAGGTGGGGATTGGCTTCTTCTCCTAGACAAAGACCAAGAGAATGAAGAGGACATGGCCTCAGGCTGTGCCAGGGGAGGGTCAGGTTGGAAATCAGGAGGAATTTCCTCACTGAAAGGGTGCTCAGGCATTGGAACTGCCCAGGGAGGTTTGGAGTCCCCATCCCTGGAAGTGTCCAAGGAATGGCTGGATGTGACACTCAGTGCTCTGGGCTGGGGACATTGTGGGCACTGGGCACAGGTTGGACTCGATGATCGTGGAGGGCTTTTCCAATCTGAATTATTCCATGGAAGTAGGACTGCCTCCAAAGGCTGCCCAGGAGCTTTTGTGAAAATTCTGTTGCATTTTGTGGCCATCAAACCTCTCTCTTCTATCCAGTGACCTGTTTCAATGACTTATGGAAGAACTTCCCATCTCTAAGATCGCCTTGTTAAGCAGCTCATTTAAATCTACAAGTGGACAGCAGAGCTCAAATTGAATGGGATTAAATACCTATACATTTATCTATTTATTTATTTGCCAAGAAAGGGTGCTCAGGCATTGGAGCTGCCCAGGGAGGTTGGGAGTCTCCATCCCTGGAGGTGGCCAAGGAATGGCTGGATGTGACACTCAATGCTCTGGGCTGGGGACAAGGCAGGCACTGGGCACAGGTTGGACTCTATGATCTTGGAGGGCTTTTCCAATCTCAGTTATTCCATGGAAGTAGGACTGCCTCCAAAGGCTGCCCAGGAGCTTTAGTGAAAATTCTGTTGCATTTTGTGGCCATTAAATCTCTCTTCTATCCAGTGACCTGTTTCAATGACTTATGGAAGAAATTCCCACCTCCAAGACCTCCTTGTTAAGCAGCTCATTTGAATCCTCAAGTGTTCTTCAGAGCTCAAGCCAAATAAGATTAAATACCTATACATTTATCTATTTATTTATTTGCCAAGATAAAGTTTCAAATTCGATGTTCTCTCTCTCTCTCTCAGGAAGGAAATTGCTTTGAAACTTTTTAAGGAGATCCCAATCTTTTTGCACGTGGCATCTTGTGGAGGCTGCCACGGCACAGGCAGAGGCAAACCAGAGATAATTCCTGACCTGAGCAGACTGCAAATGCTATTTCAGGCAGAGAAAAAAAAAAAAAACAAAAAAAGTCTTTAAAACTGGGATGATCCTTAACTTATCTGAGAAAAAACAGAAAGAGCAGCTGAACAGCCTCAGCTAGAAATGCAACAGATAAAGGCAATCTGAAGGTAACACATTTTTCATCACTTGGAGCTTTCGTGATTACGTTTGTGTGGCTCCTATAAAACAGCTTTCAGCCAAACATACTCCACTGGAATCAAAGTAGAGGGAAAAAAGCAAATCTACTTATTTCCCCTAATACAAGAAATCAAATCACATGTTCAAAAAGGAGGTTTTTATTTTATTTATTCATTTTATCTAGAAGCCTATGAAAAGAAGAAATCAGAATGGAAATATTCATATAAGTGGAATAAAACAATAGCCTAACATTTCTCTACCCTCTCTTGACAGCATTTTATTTTCCCTAGTCTCCTTGACACACTGCTAAAATAGAAACACATTGTTGCTCATCAAAATACAATCTTGGGAACATGAGTTTTTATCATTGAAGAAATCCAAGTCTTGTAGCTCAGCTTGTAATTCCTTGATTTGCATTTGCTCAAGCGTGCTATCAAACAGAGGTGTAGCTGAGCACAAAGTTAACCCAGCCCCTGGTGAAAATGTGAATCTACAATGGAACTCCTGGGCTGATGCTTTCTCTTCTCTGGGTAAAGCAGGGGAAAATAAAGCAAAAGGAGAAGAGGAAATTCCTCACAGAGGACACAATAACTTGGGTTTCACAACAGGGTTTGGTGCAGAGCAGCTTCACTTGCTGATGTTGATCAGTACCAGAATAACAAAGAACTGGCTGCCTCATTTTCACATGGTTTCACAGTGAATTCAGGATTCTAGTCTGTCTTTCATACCAAGAACAAAATTATCAGGGTTTATAATGATTTTAAATACCATGTTATGACCATGTGGAATGAAAGAACAAACTCTCTGCCTTGAATCTATAAAGTCATTAGACTTAGAGACTTCCATGTCCAGAATAATTTGTAGAGAAGTAACATAATTTTTTTTTTTCAAAAACAAAGAAAAACCAGCTTTGGAAAGTGGAAAGTGACTCACTGAAAGAGCAGAGAAACCATAGAGAGACATCATTTGCGGGGAATTAAAGAAGCAGCTTTCCCTTATTAACAGCAACTCAGAAACAAAAAGGCACCAGGCCTCGACGAACACTCCATAAAAACAGGTTTTAATAGTTTCTGTAATTTGGATGGTTGGTTTTGGTTTGTTTTCATTTTGAGCCTTTCTTCCATGGTGAAATAGCAAACCAGAAGCATTTCTCAGTCAGATCCCTATCTCAGACTGACTGTTAAGTTTCTAAATTGCTTTATAAGACAGACATAAGTAAATAGCTGCTGCTACTGTATTCCTGCTCACATTTTGAGACTATAAATTATTTAGAACAAGAGCCTCTAAACATGTTTGAGCAAAGCAATCCAACAGAGATCACGAACAAAAACTGCTCATGTTTTTATTATCAAATACGATTAAGATAATTATGTAAAGAGTAAATACAACATCAGGCTGAAGGAAGAAACAAAACAAACCAAAGACACTTGCCTGGGTAACAAGTGGCTCCAAGAGTCTCTCTACTGTGAGAGTCCTGATTTCCAAACTTTTGGGGTCCCATTTCAGAATGATAGGTGACGTTGCAGAAGTCATACTCCCTGGAACAGATAAAATCACACAGTATGAGAATTATTACCGCAATATCCACATATTGCAGAGCATTTATTTAAAGAATAAATATATATAGCCACATATTAAATACTTCTCCATAGTCTTGCTGGCGTTCCTGTGCTCCCAAGAACTCCCAGGAGCATCACTGCCATATCCTATGGGTGTTATTAGATGTTTATATTCCAAATTATTCCTGTACCTCCAGAACCACAGCAGATGGGTATGTCCTGAAGGAACCACATCCCATGGAGGGCACAAGCAGGAGCAGGTTTATCCTGAAGGACTTTATCCCACAAAGAGACCCCAAAATGGAGCAGGGGAAAAGAGTGAGGAAGTTTTATGAACTTACTGTAACCCCCATATTCCCCTGCACCACCCAGCATGAGAGGCAAGGAACTGGAAGAGTCAGAAGTGGAATAAAACAAATTCAACAACTCTGTTCAGATTTTTGAATCAACCTTCCCCCACAGTATTCAGCATTTCTTAATTCTTCATCAAGAAGAGGAGTACTCATTTAAAGACAAAACAGATTCTCCAGACCACCTTAGGCTTAAAAGCTTAAACAAAGCCCAAAATGAAGACAACAGCAAATTGCTGTCATTTTATTCACCATTTCAGGTTTTCATGCAATTTTCTTAACAGTTGAATTCATTTTGGAAATTCCAGATACAGAGAAGTCCAGCTGTCAGGCTGCAAGAGACATCCAGTGCACCTCACTGAGCTGGAAAGTGATCTGAGTATTTGGTGACAAGCAAAGCCACATGTAAATTAACCTGTCCACCAAACCAAGGAAGACAGAAAAATCTAATAAAAAAATGCTCATTTTAAATAATTCTGATTTAAATATTTCCCTATATTTTAAAATTAAAATGAAAAATTATAAGTCCTGTATACCATGAGAACTCTTAACAGGTAAAGACAAACCAGTAATATCATACTGGATATCATGTGAGATTCGAGTCAGGCCCCTCTGCATAGAACATCCCAAAAGTTTCAAATTGTTTTCTTCAGAAAGCAATTTTACTACTTTTAACTTAGCGACTTCGGTATTTTATCTTAGCTTTTTTAATCAATAAGCTAATTTCAGTACTAAAATTTAAAAATAAATAAATGAATTAATCACCACCGCAATTAAGGGAACAAAATCAAAAGAAATTCAGCTATTGCTCCTTGAATCACAATCCACGTCATGAAGTCAGCAAGGCACTTACTCAGGATTTAGCAGCATTATCCAGAATATACAAAATAAATTCTACTGCTCTGCTCAGGAGAGTGCCTGGAGGAATCACTATCAATCAATATAAACAGGCTGGTGAGTCTCTGCAGAAGATTCTCACTGGGGTTAAATACTTGCTCAAAAAGAGAGGCATATCTGAACTCCCTGATCAATATATTTATAAATCACATATAAAACCATCATTAGCCTCCCCTCACTTGCAAACATTTGGTAACAGCATTATCAGATAATATCTAGTGAGTGCTAAAATCACTATTATTCAGTTTCCAGAAACCCATTAGGTTTCATGTTTTACAGTGCTGAAAACACCCAGGCATGATTAAAGGAAATTGTGAGACAGTTTCTAGTTGCTGCAAACATGGGTGATGTGGGAGCCATCATTTTTCCAACAGATAATATTTAATTATCTTTCAGAGCCTGTTTCTTTTTTATATAAAGTTGGTTGCCACTCCAGTTGGTCTCTGGAATTCAAAATATAAACCTGAAGTAGACAATTATTCTAACTGGTTAATTATGAGTTAGGATATTTTCAAATGTGTCACAGTCTTTTCACTAAGCACACTTCTCCTCACTAACTATTCACAGGAGTACTCCAACTTGTCGTAATTCAAAAACAAATTCAAAGCTGTACCATAGTCCAGAGCCTACAAAAGCAAATTAACTTCAGTGGATGGCAGTCACGCAGGTGATACTAAAAATACCTGGGTGATCACTTCTTACAGCCAGAATATGGCCAGAATATAACCTTAACTAAAAAAACAAATATCCCTCAGAACTCAAAATAAAAGGGTAATTTTATTCTAATTTTTATGACCTTTAGTTACTATTAATAAATTTTTCTTTATACCCTTTTAAAATTTTAAACCTACTTTACTTTTTTCCCAATCCTACCTCACAACAAAAAATAAATACACTAATAATTAACCAACACTAAATCCACCACAGTGGCTTTCAAATACAAAAAGGGCACATGCAAGAAAAAATCTTATTAAAAACTTATGGCAGTTTTTCATTTGCAGTCAAATCTACACCACAACAGCAAATAAGTAAAAAGTAAAATTAACGCATTTTTATCAACAATCCTTCAGTTGCTGTCACAACAGCAATTTTAAATGACAAGACTAAAGAGAAGTTACCTGCCCAGTGTTTATGTAAGAATAGATGGAGTGTTTCTTCCTTGCAACTTCTGCACTGAACTTCCTACGCCAAACAGGCAAACAGGGACTGCTCAGTCGGATAAAGGACAGGATGCTCCGAGTATTTTATGACTATTTGACCAAATATTCCCCAGAAGTAGCTTTAAGTACTCCACTGAAAGGAAATATAATTTAATAGTGCTGTAATAATACTGCCATAGAAGTATACAGACCTTGCAGTCCTAATCCTGAAACTAGCTCCAGACTTCCTTCAAGAATATATTTTAGGAATTCTTTTGCCTGTGTTTCTTCTTCCTTGAGCATGTGCCAAAATGTCTGTTGTTCTAAGCTTTTAGCTTTTCCTAAATACAGCAACACAGAAATGTCTCTATCCAGCTCAGTAATGTTCAGTGTGAGCATTTGTTTAGCCAGTCTGTCTCCAAAGCCTATCTGTAAAGAAAATAAGCATTTACTTTAGCAAATACTAACAAGTATTTACTTGGACAAGTGGAACAAGCGGAGCCAAAATCCACATCTGTCACCGTCATATTTTCTGGAAAAATCCCTTTGCCCAGGATTTTTCTCCTGGGAAGCTGAAAAGGCTCAGAGAAAAATGAAAACAATTCTTATCTCATTTGCTTCTCCTGTGTTGTGCTCACATGTGGAATGTGTTTGGAGATTGTTTACCCACAGCTGACTGTTTCACTGGTTTCATGTGAATTGTTTTGATTTAATGGCCAATCAGGGCCAAGCTGTGTCAGGACTCTGGAAGGAGTCACGAGTTTTCATTATTATCTTTTTAGCCTTCTGTAAGTATCCTTTCTGTATTCTTTAGTATAGTTTAGTATAGCATTCTTTTATATAATATAGTATCATAAAATAATAAATTACCCTTCTAAGAACACAGAGTCAGATTCACCATTCCTGCCTTCATCTGGGAACCCCGCAAACACAAGACACAGCAGTAGAATACTCCATTATATAACAGTCCCCAGAATTGGAACCCCACACCACCCTTGCCACCAGTCTCTTCACACAGCATAATTTCACTTTTTGGAACATCCTACGAACCCAAAATGTTCAGCATGTGGAATTGTTTGTCTGTCACACTACAACTCCCTGGTTTTCCTTCACAACAGATCCACTCTCCCTGTGACTCACACAGAGATTTCTGAGGGTCAAAGCTGCTCACGAGTGACTGCAGCTCATTTCTGTGCTGCAACTCCAATTTAAAAATATTTAAAATCTACATCGGCAAAAGCAACATTTGCTGAAGCAAAGTGATAATTTTTTTAGAAATATAAACATTGCCAGTCTTGAGCAGACCTCCAGCTGTTAGTCCAGCTCACATCTGCAATGCAGACACGAAAGACAGATGGTAAACATTTCATCCAGAATAAAGTAAAAACCCTTTCTACCTGACTCATAGCAAAGCTGTAGGATTAATCAGCTGGCAGGAGTAAACTGGCAATGCTTGGCAGTACAAGTCCGTACTTCCAACACTCTACTTGCTACTGGAAGTCAAAGAATTATATTTATTAGTAAAAAAACGATGTCCAGCAAGGTTGAGAAACAGTAAGGTGAGAGGAGTCAAAAGGCTAAATAGAAATAATTTAGCAAAACAGTAATAATCTTTCCAAATAGTAAAGTTAAAAGACTAGCTTTTTACTCAATAATACTCAATAAAAATACTCAATATTTAATACCTAATGTTTAAGGCATTTACATGGAGGAGTGAAGAAAATCTGCTTTACACCTGATTCTCCATCAGTCACCACCCTGGATTTCGATCTCCATGTCCAGATCAATGGGGCAGTTCCACACATGGTTTAAACCCATCTGATCGCCAGCTCAGCTCCTCCTGCAGGTTTCCACTCCTCTCCCTTGGTGAATTCCACCAGGAGCAGACAATAACTCACCCTGCCAGGCTCACAGCAGCACAGGTGACAACCAAAGCCCTGGGAAGAGCAGCACAGGTGGAGGGCAGGGCAGCCTCTCCAGACACAAAGTGGTTTAAGATGAGTTAAAAACACAGCCTGCACTTCCTTGGTTCTTATCTGAAGATTGAGAACCACGTCAAAACAAACACCTCTCTGCACAGAGACAGACTTCTGCCAGGAATATGGAATTCCTTCCAGCAGGATACACAAGCCCTTGAGACAGACAGAGAAAAAAAAAATCTGATTTCACAGACATTTGCTTCACTGGGAGATGGAAATCTAAACACATGAATGGTTATACCCTTGAGTCTGCCTACAGAGAATAACAGCGTTTAGAGATGCACGAGCTGGCTCTGGATTAGCTCAGGCACAGGGCAGGCAGGAGCACAGGACAAACCAGCTCAGGAATCAGAAATCCTACAAACACACACAGCCCTGGAGAGCCCAGCCCTGGCTGACCTGGCTGGCAGAGAGCTGCACTGATATATTTATATACATAAACCTACATATCCATAGCCAAGATCCTGTTCCCTGACATTTATCTGAAGTGCTGAGCAATGCAGCTGCACCTCTGCTCTGACCTGAGCAGCAGAAAGTGAAGCTGCAAGAGCTCTGATCCTCAAGGGAGCCTGGTTCCCAGCACAATTCCCAACCCATTTGCTCATTCTCTGCCT